TGAGAACAGCCGAGACTGTGCCGGCTCTGACACCCTGGGTCACCACTTACCGCTGCTCTTCCTCACTCATCTTGCTCTTCTGCAGGCACTGCTTCACCTGGTTTTCCATCATCTACCAAGAATTAAGTCATTTAATCATGTACATTGACAATAATATTGAATCCAAATAGATTACCACCTCGAGAATTGGGCATAACATACTAACTCATACTGCGTGTAATACAGAGATATACATGTATGGAATAGAAACAAAATACAATCTATCAAGGAGCAGATGGTTAGCACCCATTTGAGAGGGCTGTCCTGAAAGTTGTTAGAGGAGGCAGTTCATTATAGTCATTGTCATCAAATAAATTCATTAAAATTAACTGTTATGTGGGGAAGGGTTAGATAAATGGTCAATTCTGATAGGCACATTCAACTTTTTAAAAAGGTTTTTTTTAATACATTAGCTTATACCTGTCCAATATTAAGCTAACGTCTGCATAGCCAGCTTCTTAGAATTACAGAAAGTTGTCATTTAGAAAGATAATACATATGCTCTTATTTGGTTTATGACTTAGCACAAGAAGGCACTAAAGGAAATATTTCTATGTTCTACATAAAAATACTGTTTCACAAAGACTTACATATGTTGTCTTCTTTAAAACGTTATTTGCTGTTTCTAATTTTATAGCTTCAGCCTGAAGGAGAAATGATTTTAAGAGAAATACACAAGGTTAAGAATATTTGTTTAGTTTCCCCATTTGTGGAACAAACAGCATTATGTGAGTGCTGTTATTCTAATTTCAAAAGTACCCAACTACACACCATTTAAAACCAGGTGAAAAAGCAAAGCATGACTTGAAGGACATTTGGTAAGACAGAATGATCCTGGCCCTTTGGGTCAAAACTAGAGAAGGTAGGGGTTGATGGTGCAAAATATAAGAGAGTTTTAATACTCTGGAATTAGAGAATTCCAGAGTAGAAGATTTCTTCACTGTTCAGAGCTCATAATAGAATTTGTTAAGGTGGCTGTATATAATATAAAAATACAAATATCAATACATCACATATATACCAGCAATAACTGATTATGAACTGTAATGTAAAAGAGTTTTTAAAGTTTTAATTCACAATAGTATAAAAGTACCATAAAGTCACAAGAATAAACATAACAAAAATATTTTTAAATTTAAATTAAAAAAATATACAATGTTCCTTGGTGACAGTTTTCATATTGTAAAGCTGTCGCTTCTTCCCAAATGAATCTATAAATTCATTGTAAGCAAAATCAAAATGCCAAGAGTATTATAATGAGATTTAAAAAATTAGTTAACACTGTGAATGAGAATATCCAAAATAATTGTGAGCAAGAAGTGATGGGCAGGGGCTGTAAAGACTTGGTCTTGCAGTTAGCCAACTTATTGAAAAGGATTAGCAATTATACCTGTGAGGCTGGATAGTCTATAATTAAGAACCTAAGCTGAGTTTAAACCCTCATTGAACTTCTTGTTCACTGTGGCTTCAGTCAAGCTACTTAGCATATTTTTGCTTTGATTTCTACCTGAAAAAGAGGGTTAATAATAGCAGCTATCTTTTACTATCTCTTAGGGTCATTAGGAATGACATGAAATAGTATTTTTTTCACGTTCACAGCAGTATTTAGCACATTGTTTATCCTTGAAACATTTAGTTACTTTTCTTCGGTTTTGAATTAATATAGTTAATATTCAGAACCAGAAATCAATTACTTGAAAGGATAATACATATAATTCTATTGTACCTTCCAGTACCTGAATTAAGGAGCCAAATATAAATAATAAATAGTTAAAGCAATATATATTCATGATATAGAATCATTAAAGGGAATCTCCTATTTCCTAGATTCAACCCACTTAAAGGGATGTTAATTATGAAAGAAAAGTTTACATGATTTTGGCATTACATCATGTTCACAATATATAAACCTGTAACTCATTATTTCCACTGTTTAAACATTCAATTATAAGTTAGTGTTTGTTGTCAGGACATTAGTTTTTAAAAAAAGAAAACCCTCTAAAAAAACACACAGAAGAAAATATAAACATGATTTTAAAGGAAAAAAGAAATCAAAACAAGTTTGAACCACTACCACCTTCCATACACTATAATTCTGCTTTAAAGGGAAAAAAATAGTACTAGGAAACCATCTGTAACCATTTAACCACAGTAAAAAGTAACAATTACACATCAATTATAAACTCTGTAAACAGTGGTTACACTGGGTCTGAGTCTTCAAAAATAAAAATTAGGTTATAACACATAGAAAGTAGGGCACCATAGCATTTCAAAACATAGATTATAACTTACAATATATTTTCATCAAGGAAATTGTTACAATAATTGTAAAAGACTATTTTTAATATAGTTGACTCTCCTTCCAATGGCAGTAACGCATTCTTATCTGCCAGCATAATTAATTGTACAGCCAACTCAGAATCTAACTATGGAGTCAATATGGCACAATAAAAATGACAAGGGCTTTGAAGTCCCCCAAAATTAAGCCTGAACCTCAGCTTTGCCACCTCTAAATTGTGTCACATTGTGCAGGTTACTTAACTACTGAAAGCTTCAGCTTAAACAACTTAGTATGTTTTAGACACTAAATGACAAAAGCCATTATTTTTAGGGCAATCATTTTCTAAACAAAACATTACATTTTTAGACACATCAATTGACCTGAAAGAGTTCCAATTTGACCCTTAACAGAGCTTTACAGAATTTTTATCACCTTCATTTTTGTTGTTTGCACTAGATCTCTTAATTATTCTAATCATTTGCTAATCATTTGCTACAAATGTTGGAAATGAAAATATATTTGGACCAAATTTTATGTAATTTTTTACCCTATTGCAAAATCAAATTGCTTCATATGTTTATCGAGGCCTTGAAAGGAAAGAACGTGAACAGTCAAATACATAAATAGCATACCTCTATGCTTCTAATCCTATCCTTAATGATATGCGAAATTCCAGTATGAATCAAAGTTGTTTTAATTTCTCTTTCAAGATCTTGAATTTCATCCCATTTCTTAAGTATTTCGCATCTCTTCTTTTCAACCTGCTCAATAAGAGTAAGGTGCTTCTCGTCGGTTACAGTTTTTTCAGATAATTCTGGAAACATTTTTTAAAAGCAAAGTATCACTGTGTTTAATATCTTAGCCCCTTATTAATATCATGATGTGTTATTAACAATATTATGATATATATGCTCTATATGCTACATGCTTTATATAGCTACAAAATATAATGCAACTCAAACTCCAAACACATTGATAAAAATTATCTGACCCAAAAATGCAGATAGTCCTCCTTTAATCCATTCATTTCATCAGTAAATGTCTACTGAAGGCTGAATTGAGCACAGGGTGGCAAAAGCACAGGATGACTTGCCCAGAGAGCTGTGAATAAGTTGAAACTGGAAAGACAGATGACTAGGAGCTAAAAAGTAAAAAGGGCGAGTGGGGTGATGGTGGAAGAGAATACTTGGCACATTCAGTAAAAAAAAAAAAGTTATCCAGTAGGGTGGGGCCTTGAGTGCCAGGTGAGTAACATCAAGAGATGACGCTAGATAAGCAGGAAGCGTCAGATCTGCAAAGGTCGTTTAACCTTGGAAGACGTTGAAGGCTTTTCAGCCGGGGGGGCAAGATGGGGGTGCGGGGAGAGCAGTCAGGCAATGGTCGCTCTGTGCATGGCACCCAGCGTGCAGGATGGACAGCGGCCCAGGTTGGAAGACCCCTCACCCAGAGGCCACAGAAAAACACATGTCACATCACCCGAGGACTCACCTGCGTTTTTCTTAGCAGATTGCAGCAACCTGTGCTCCACCTCTAATTCATGTCTGAGTCTACCGTTTGAGAATAAAAAAGGGAAATATTAGAACCCAATTCGTACTTACCTTTTTCTCCTTTTATTTTATACATGTCTTTTTTTCTAATAGAGAAATAAAAACCAATCAATTCTTAGTTTCTAACATAAAAGGTTATTAGGAGATGTATATAAAAGGAGAGCCTAAGTCAGTCAAGTAAACCAAAGAATACCTGCCTGCCCAGATTGCATAAGCCATTGGTTAAAGGAGCTGGTTCGCATGAAATACATGACTTCCTATAGTGTTTATTAATAGTATTTTGTGAATTGAATTTCTAAGAAGCAAGGAGGCAAAGAAAGGAGCATTTTATGCTCTGAGGCAAACAACAAACCAAGAGCCATGGAAAGGTCTGACTGATGTTGGAATCACATTTTTCCTGTGTGCTATGATTTCATTGCACAGGTACAAGGCTCAAATTCCACTGTATTTAAATCAAAAATAAAATACAAGAGATTTAAAAATAAGGAAATAAAACACCTCTTTGTATCCTCCTCCTGGTTCAAAATAAACTAAATTGACTATCTTATTTCTAGTGGATGTAGAGAGAAGAGAAAAAAAGGAGTCTCCTAAGTGTTGCATATACTGAGGGAAACCCTGTGATTTAGTTAAAGACATCACACCACAAATGACTTAATGTGCACGTTTATAAGGGGCCTAATCATTTAAGATTTTCACATATATTAGCTCATTTTACCATAGATTAAAAGAAACAAAAAGGTA